TTTTTAGGGGTTTACGTGTCCGGCTTTGGTGCACTAGGTTAGTTTTACAATTTACTTTAAAAAACCAAGAGCATATCTACACAGATATGACAAAAAATGAAAACATGAAACTCTATTTCTGTAAATATAGCTATTTAAAAAAATGTTTTTTTATGACAAATAGGGCTCAGATGAAAACTACATACCTGGAGTTAACAAGATTTTTTTTCTGCAAAATTTGGCATTATTTGTTTCTGGTTTTTTTTTTCAATTTTCAGGGTACTTCTCTTTTCACATTTTGTAGACTCTAGGTCTGGCATCAAATGAAAATTCTTAGCTCTACAAAAGCAATTTTTGGCTTGAAGTCAAAAATTGCATCAAAGCTTTCTATTTCAAAAATAGTCACTTGTGTTTGACCATTTGAGAAATAAAAGCTTTGGATATGAGTTCAAGAGAACTTTTAAGCTATTTAGTTCTAAAATAGCATAAAAGTTCATGGAGAAGTTTCATTTAATGCTCTTGCCCAAATGTCTTGAATGTGATTAGACTGGTGCCCTGAAAAGAAAATTAACTAAAATTGTTTTGTTACAGTCATAAGTTTGTGCTATAACACTACAGGTATGTTGTTCAATCTGCTCCTTTGAAATAAGTTGGACTTGACTCTAATACAATTTGAGTCTTAAGGTGAAATTGGAACTTAAATTTGAATACTTCTATACCAAAAAATTCTGAACTTGACACATCATGGACTCCTTAATAATTATTAACACTAACTCTTAACCTTAAAAACAACTAATACTAACTCGATTAGTTAACAGAGTGAGAGTCCAAGATGTTTCAGTTCTGACAGCATGTAAATATTCAAAATGACAATAGTCTTACTGATTTAATTCTGATGGTATAATGTACACAGGTACATATTATATAGTTGTACATATTTTAACTGGGAATTATGGTAATTAACTAAAATGAGGAAGTAAAACATGGATGAATGGTGGTCTAAGGGTTAACCAGATCAATCATCAACTCTTCATTAAACATACAGTTTTGAAGCCTTTTGTGACTTGAATACTTTCATCAGAAATCTGTCTCCATCCCAGTTTTAGCCTTGCTTAAAAAAAGTGCATTTTTTCCAAAAGGTTATATTACCCAGAGTTGTCACCCCTAAAATGAATGACTTTTTGCCTATTTTGACTATTTTCTAATTATTAATTAGAAACCAAAGATCAAAGAGGTTAACATTCCCATCTCAGGACACGTTTCTCGGATATCCTTTCTAGCATCTCCTAAATATCGGGAGTTCTTTCGTGGGTAGTAAAAAGTTCAGTTGTGTCAAATTTGACAACTGAACCTTCCTTTGAAATGTTTCCTGCCAGTTTGTACGTCAGCCTCACCTGTTTTGAAGATCCCTAGCCATGGCTGTGATTATGTTGTGTTTGTTAGCATTTTCGAATGATTGTTGAGTTATCACAATCTAAAGGAAACAAACGATGCTGTAAAAGAATCGCGATTTGCACCAGTGTAGTAACTCAAATACACTTGCCGCCACTTAAACGCGGCGCGCTACACTCAGAAGCACTCGCGCGATCCCACAGGCACACGCAAACTCTTATTAACAATTGGTTCATATGTCAGCGTGCGTTCGTCGAGATATGAAGCACGCGGG